GCCCCTCTTGCCACTCTTACCAGTCACAAAGTTCCCTTTAATTGGACCCCAGATTGTCAAACTTCTTTTGACAAAGCAAAAAGAATATTGTGTACTGCACCCATTCTCTTGTCTCCAGACTTCTCCAAACCATTTTCATTACAGGTTGATGCTTGTGAGTCTGGGGTTGGGGCAGTACTATTACAAAACGAGAATGAGGAGTTGCAGCCTGTAGCGTACTTTTCAGCCAAGTTCCAGCCACATCAGAGGGCTTACTCTACCATTGAAAAAGAAGCCCTCGCGCTGGTACTGGCTTTGAAGCATTTCGATGTTCGTGGGCCAGACATCGCAGGTGGTCAGTCTACAGTGATCACAATCCTCTAGTATATCTCCAAGCCATGAAGAACCGCAACACAAGGCTCATGCGCTGGACGCTAAGTCTGCAACCATACTCACTCAGAATTAAATATATTGCCGGCAAAGAAAATGTGTTGGCGGACTCTTTATCTAGAGTCTAATATTTTTTATTTATTTAGGTTAGGATGTTATATTATTTGTGGTAACCCCTTTTCACGCTCTTTTTTTTTTTTATCCCAAGGTGTGGGTTTTTTTTTTTTTTTAGTGAGGGGATGCGGGCTACCGTCCGCCTGTACCTTGGACCTATATTAGCCTGACTGACTGCTGTCTCACTCTGAGTTTAGGATTTGGCTTTTTGTCACGAGAAAAGCTGAGCTCTATCTAAGAGTTGGATGGTGGAGAGGAAAGGTGGTCCCATTATGTTGTGCCATGGCGGCACGGTTACCACTGGGAGGTGGCAGCCTAATCCTGAGCCTTCTCGGGGGTGGGGGTGTGGCATGCAAAGAGTACGTAACCTTTATTCGGCGCATGTACACACCCTCATTTACAGGCTATCTCCCCCAACCAGCGAACCAGGTTGCTAAGAGTTGATGATGGGGCACCGTCGTTCAACTAGTGACCAGGTTCCAGGCAATAAGAAGATGGTTTTGGCAATCGCAGAGGTTATGTGGGTACCACTCCTGTCTGCCCTTGTCATTCCCATTCTAGAGCTGATTGAAGCAAGGTCTGCTATCTTGTGGCTTCTATTTCTGCCTTGCTTACCGTGGAGTGCACTATACTTATCACTGTACATAGTGTACATATTGCTGTTCTAAATTGGTGAAGGATAATGTAAGTAAACTTTTTCTGCTGTGTTTATTTTGCTCCCTTTTCACCCAGGATAACAGGCCATTTGGAATCCTGGGTTGTAATAACATGTCTACCACCTCACATCTTGTCTACCACCTCACATGTCTACCACCTCACAACAAGTTTACCACCTCACAACTTGTCTATCACCTCACAACTTGTCTACCACCTCACAACACGTTTACCACCTCACAACTTGTCTACCACCTCACAACATGTCTACCACCTCACAACATGTTTACCACCTCACAACATGTTTACCACCTAGCATGTCTACCACCTCACAAATTGTCTACCACCTCACAAATTGTCTACCACCTCACAACATGTTTACCACCTAGCATGTCTACCACCTCACAAATTGTCTACCACCTCACAAATTGTCTACCACCTCACGACATATCTACCTCACAAATTGTCTACCATCTCACGTGTCTACTGCCTCACATGTCTACTACCTCACAAATTGTCTACCATCTCACATGTCTACCACCTCACAACTTGTCTACCACCTCACAACATATCTACCACCTCACAACTTGTCTACCGCCTCACAACATGTCTACCACCTCACAACATGTCTACCACCTCACAACATGTCTACTACCTAACATGTCTACCACCTCACAACTTGTCTACCCCCTCACAACATGTCTACCCCCTCACGACATGTCTACCACCTCACGACATGTCTACCACCTCACGACATGTCTACCACCTCACAACATGTCTACCACCTCACAACATAGTATTTTGAAGGATTTACCTGGAGTTTACCTGGAGAGAGTTCCGGGGGTCAACGCCCCCGCGGCCCGTCTGTGACCAGGCCTCCTGGTGGATCAGAGCCTGATCAACCAGGCTGTTGCTGCTGGCTGCACGCAAACCAACGTACGAGCCACAGCCCGGCTGATCAGGAACTGACTTTAGGTGCTTGTCCAGTTCCAGCTTGAAGACTGCCATGGGTCTGTTGGTAATCCCCCTTATGTTTGCTGGGAGGCAGTTGAACAGTCTCGGGGCCCTGACATTATTGTATGGTCTCTTAACGTGCTAGTGACACCCCTGCTTTTCATTGGGGGGATGTTGCATCGTCTGCCAAGTCTTTTGCTTTCGTAGTGAGTGATTTTCGTGTGCAAGTTCGGTACTAGTCCTTCTAGGATTTTCCAAGTGTATATAATCATGTATCTCTCCCTCCTGCGTTCCAGGGAATACAGGTTTAGGAACCTCAAGCGCTCCCAGTAATTGAGGTGTTTTATCTCCGTTATGCGCGCCGTGAAAGTTCTCTGTACATTTTCTAGGTCAGCAATTTCACTTGCCTTGAAAGGTGCTGTTAATGTGCAGCAATATTCCAGCCTAGATAGAACAAGTGACCTGAAGAGTGTCATCATGGGCTTGGCCTCCCTAGTTTTGAAGGTTCTCATTATCCATCCTGTCATTTTTCTAGCAGATGCGATTGATACAATGTTATGGTCCTTGAAGGTGAGATCCTCCGACATGATCACTCCCAGGTCTTTGACGTTGGTGTTTCGCTCTATTTTGTGGCCAGAATTTGTTTTGTTCTCTGATGAAGATTTAATTTCGTCATGTTTACCATATCCGAGTAATTGAAATTTCTCATCGTTGAACTTCATATTGTTTTCTGCAGCCCACTGAAAGATTTGGTTGATGTCCGCCTGGAGCCTTGCAGTGTCTGCAATGGAAGACACTGTCATGCAGAATCGGGTGTCATCTGCAAAGGAAGACACGGTGCTGTGGCTGACATCCTTGTCTGTCAGATGTGAGGATGAGAAACAAGATGGGAGCGAGTACTGTGCCTTGTGGAACACTGGGAGCGAGTACTGTGCCTTGTGGAACACTGGGAGCGAGTACTGTGCCTTGTGGAACACTGGGAGCGAGTACTGTGCCTTGTGGAACAGCTCTTCACCGTAGCTGCCTCAAACTTTACTGTTGAAATAATTGAAGTAAGCTTGAATAATTATTAAATAATATTAGGGTCATAAACGTTGTCATATTAGGCTAGTATATTATATTATATTAGGTATGAGGTTAGAAGTAATAGAGTATACCAGGAGTATACCAGGAGTATACCAGGAGTATACCAGGAGTATACCTGGAGTAGACCTGGAGTATACCTGGAGTATACCTGGAGTATACCTGGAGTATACCTGGAGTATACCAGGAGTATACCAGGAGTATACCTGGAGTATACCTGGAGTATACCTGGAGTATACCTGGAGTATACCTGGAGTATATCAGGAGTATACCAGGAGTATACCAGGAGTATACCTGGAGTATACCTGGAGTATACCTGGAGTATACCAGGAGTATACCAGGAGTATACCAGGAGTATATCTGGAGTATACCTGGAGTTTACCTGGAGTATACCAGGAGTATACCAGGAGTATACCAGGAGTATACCAGGAGTATACCTGAAGTATACCTGGAGTATACCTGAAGTATACCAGGAGTATACCTGGAGTATACCTGGAGTATACCTGGAGTATACCAGGAGTATACCAGGAGTATACCAGTATACCAGGAGTATACCTGAAGTATACCTGGAGTATACCTGGAGTATACCAGGAGTATACCTGGAGTATACCTGGAGTATACCTGGAGTATACCTGGAGTATACCAGGAGTATACCAGGAGTATACCTGGAGTATACCTGGAGATGGTTTCGGATGTCAACGCCCCCGCGGCCCGGTTTGTGACCAGGCCTCATGGTGGATCACGACGTGATCAGCCAGGCTGTTACTATTGGCCTCACGTAAACCGACGTAGGAACCACAGCCCGGCTGGTCAGGTACTGACTTTAGGTGCTTGTCCAGCGCCTTCTTGAAGACAGCCAGGGGTCTTGAAGACAACCAGGGGTTTTGAAGACGACCAGGGGTCTATTGCTAATCCCCTATATGTATACAGGGAGGCAGTTGAACAGTCTTGGGCCCCTGACACTGTTGTTTCTTAGCGTCCTCGTGGCACCGCTGCATTTCATTGGGGGAATGTTGAATCACCTGCCAACTCTTTTGCTTTCGTAGGGAGTGATTTTCGTGTGCAGGTTT